TAGCCGTGTGCGGCGGCCCCCTCCACAGTTTCGTCCATCGGTCATATTTTCGTAGTGCTTAGGTGAAGCCCTGCGGAGATAGCATCACCACCACCATCACCATGTCGTTGTGCTGCCGGAACGCATCCACTACTTCGCTGTCTTGCTGGATCAAGAAGGCGAGTACGTCACCGAGCTAAACATGTGCTGAACGCGGAGGTGTCGTACGTTCGGTACTTGTTCGGTTGGATCGCGAAGAAGATCAACTACATCAACCGCCGCGTTACTAAACGCTTCCGCTTACGGTCTACGATGGTACATAGACACACTCTCCCCTCTCGTTGCTATGCATCTCCATGGATAGATCTTGCATGTGCGTAGAATTTTTTTTGTTTTCCATGCAATGTTTCCCAACAGGAAATGTGCTCGAGCAACCACCCGCATCTAGCGGGTGCAGTGGCTACTTATAACTTGGCGCTCCCACCAACGTGCCACTCGCGAAAGAATGCAATGGTAATTTTCCAAATGGCAACACGCGCTAGTTCTTCGAAGAACCTAGGGCAACTTCAATGACTCAGTTCCCTAACGCCTTAGTGAAGAAACTAATTCTAGTGACACTTAAGAACTAGACATTGAGTCCTCAACCACGTTGATTCTTTGAATGTATTCAACTTAGTCAGTGAAGCTAGTAGGTTCACGTGAAAGTAGATTTCCAAGTCTTCACCATGTGTATAACAATGGTTTATGTTTGAGCGAAGTAAAGAATCTCAATCTTACTTCACAATCTGAACCCCTCTTAATAGTACAGTTTGGCTTGAATCAATGAAGAAAAGGATAAACATTTCTACCTAACATCTGCTGTTTCTTCACTAGGAAAACCCAAGACTTTAGTGTTTCCTAAACAATTTTAAAGTTCTAAATCCTTTGATTAAACAAAATCATTAGGGACCATATCATCTTCATACACTCGGTAAACATGTTAGTCCCTTAATTGTTTGTCATTAATCATCAAAACCCACTAGGTGACACTAAATTTTCCTACAGTCACCAAATTTACCAAATCAATTGGAGATGCTCTCATAAACTCCTCCACGTGCTCACTGTCCATCTAGGGGTCCAAGTTTAGAGTTGTGAGAGGCTTGTTTATATGTTCGCCCTGCAGTGTAACCACTTGCAATTTGACCTCCTCCACTAACAACTTCATTGCGACAAACCCTTCTGTCTTTGATTTGGATCGGGTAGGCCGATGTCACCGGTATGAAAGTCGACATCCATCTCCCGGACCCCGAAGTCGAGACCCGTATCCACTCATTTGCTACTTCCCTCAACTACGGGGCCGGCCGCAAGAGAAGATAGATGTGGCACCATATCCAACGCTAACGATCTGGGGTATCTGAGGCCTTGGCAGAGTGCAGAATCGAGAATTAGAGTGCATATTGGAGGATTTGTGGTGCCTGGAGGTTTTCAGATAGGCCCTAAGACTACACACTTCCAACTAAAAATTCATGAACTTCCAACTCCAAAAACTTCAATCTTGCAACTAGAGAACTACAAGCTTCCTACAAAAAACATTAATTTCTTAACGAGATATCCAAATTTCTAATTTGGTCTCCCAACTAAAGTTCAGGAACTTTCACCAAAAAATAGCTTCAAAGTGAATGAATCACATCTTCCAACATATCGACTAGGAGTTTTCAACTATAAACAAAACACATTCGTAAAAACCATAAGAATGTCTCCAAAATCTTAGAACAACCACCACCTTCCCAATCTGGCATAGACTTCACCAACGTGGCGGCCCCTGGAGGGCACGTGCTTCATCTGCGACACTGGAGAACAAGGGGAAAGGAAAGGAGGTTGCTCACTAGCTGGCCATGGCAATGGCAAACGTAAGGTGAATAGCTATTGGCATGACACAAACATGAGAAGATGGAGCTGTGGGCAGCGTGAGGACAACATGAGAGGAAAGGGTCTTGAATGCCAGAAGGATGAAATACCAGGGGAATGAAGTAAGGAAGGAAGGAGGGGACTACGTGTGCCCAGCAACAGACGTGCTAGTGTTGGCTATGTGAAACTCTTATCGTGGAGATGGAGTGGTAGCTATATATGGTTTTCGATAATTATCATATAGCTATCCCTAAACTAAGTTAAGAGAGTGAAACGATTGTTAGAAAATCATGTGGAATGTTAAAATTGATAACTGATGAAAATAAGGCATGGCAATTCTCTCATTTTAACTGAAGAATTAGCACGGGCGCCCAGCACCTTTTTCATTGCAAAACCAAACTTATAGTAGTTTGAGATGGTTTATAAGGGACCATATGGACATCCAAAAACAAGCTTCAGGACAGTGTGCGCATCCAGGACAAAATGGTGCGGAACCGAAAGTAGCCTACAAAGCTCCAGGACAGCGCACATCCATAGCTCTGTATCTGAATAGTACCACGGTTTCCTCCATGTCCCCTTACTTGCCAGTATCACTTGGCAACAATTTTTTTCGTGTAATCCAGTGCTGCAAAAGGAACAGTTTGAAATCAACCACCCATATGATATAGTAGTCCCCAAACTAAGTCCAAAATATCATAAAACCGTACTAAAGCAATCCTTGACGGCTGAAATATAAGTGGAGATGCATCCCACTAACCTATGTCTCAACTCCCAACCTTCGCTCTCAGCTCAGCACGAATAGAGGGGAATTTATGCAACAAACTAATGAAACTTTCAGTCAACACAGTCTTCTTGAAATTATCTTTTGCCATAACAAAGTCAATGCACCTGCTCTTCAACTCTTGGCAATTGTATATCTCAGCGCAAGCTAAAGCATCCGCAACCGTATCAGCCGACACACCTTCCCACAACTTCTGAGCACATGCGAGCTTCAACCGGTCCAATGCATACCGATCCGATGCAGCAAGCAGATGCTTTACCATATCAGTGACAGAGTCCCCAAGCTCTCTGTCTACAGGCAGGGAATCAGTGTACACGAATCGAAGCAGGGTTTTAAACACCACGGGTTCAATTTCATGCAGCGTGACACACGCCATTGTAGCCTCGGCCATGGGGCCAAAGAGCTCCGCCTTGAAGACCGGTGACCGCGCGGCGAGAATTGCCCGATGCGCATGAAACGTCTCGCCTTTCACGCAGAATGAAACATCCGTCCCCTCGGAACGATCCAGCAGACCGCCAAGATGGCTCTCTATGTCTGAGGCTGGCACAGCAATGGAGCTGTCACACAGAACCGTGATCCCACATAAAAATGTAACGCATCCTTTCCGGACGGAACCAGACTCCAGATCGCTTCGGCTTACAAACTCATGCCATCCCCTGCTCCTAGAGCTCATGCCATTAGGTGGGTACACCTTGGTACATCTTTTTGCACGCCCAGGGCCGCCTCTGCGTAGCAGGGAAGCCTCAAAGATGGCCTTGACACATTTGGCTTTGCTGACGAGCCGTAGGTACAGGGAGACGTATCTGCCTGTGTTGGCCTTCTTGGTGCCATGTGGGTAACAGTATATCTTCCAGACGTGCCCTCCGGCAAAGATCTCATCGGAGCGGACGACGTCGCCGACTGAAAGGTTCCAGGTTTTTGAATATTCCAGTTCGAACTCGATGAATCTGGAGCCCAGCATCTTGGTATCCGATTAATGCTTGCTAATAGGTTTTCCTCCAACTACGTTTCCAAAGTGAAAGAGAAATTATTTGGGTAAAAATTACTCCCAGCAAACTCTATATCAATCTGACTCCGTTAAAAAAGAATCAATCTGAATCGACCGTATATATAGAACTGAACAACAGAAAAGAGATCAGAAGAGGTAGGGGGTGCTCACCTCCCACGGCGGCGGCGGCGGTGGTGGTCGGAAGCTAAGGCGCCGCCGCCCCTCGGCCACTCCTCCCGCCTTCCACGTTGGCGCGTGCCAGGGATGAGACTGCGCCCACGCCGTCGTCGTCGCTAGGGCTCGCCGGAAGGTCGCGGGCGAATGACCTCCGCCGACTTCTGAACGCGGCCAGTGGGCGAATTCCACCCGCGTCGTGGGCCGCGTTCGGGGGTATTCATTCATCTGGGCTAGTTCTCGACTATGTAATTCACCCACATTGAAAACACCACCGCGCTCCGGGCAAAAAAAAAAAAAAAAGGACAACAATGCCATTGCTAAAAGAGTATTCCCTAAATTACTCCTTTCGCTTCAAAATATAGTGTCTATTAGATTCAAAGTCATGTTTTGTAATCTTTGATTACTTTCTTAGAAAAAAATGTCAATATCTAGAAAATACCATCAGTGGTGCTGGCCAGTCATGTATTATTGTTTTGCGGCGTGGCTTAATTAGTTCCCCATGTATTAAGGAACTTGTGCCTCTCGATTATAACTCGGTAAACATCGAATAAAAATTTCTTTTACCTCGCAAAAATAGGTTCATCACGAAAAAAGTGTGTGAAGCCCGCACTTTGCTACGAGTTTTATTAAAAAACAGTGAGTTTTATTTGAAATGCATATATATAATTTTTGTATTGTTTTAGGAATAGAGTTGCAAAGTTTAAATATAATTGAATTAAACAATTGAAATGTTAAATTTTGATAAATTAGTTTTCCAGGACAAATAAGGCAAATTGACTGGTCGCATCTTTTGGGAAGTTATAAATTAATATATATTTTGAATCTCACAATTCCCGCATTTCTTTTCATTATTTTCTAATATTTTTTAGGAAGAAACATCATTTCATTACCGCGCGTGTTTTTCCGCGAAGAGAGATATTTTCACCATGTGACTTGTCTTTTTTACAAAAGACATCTTTTCATCGAGGGATGTGTCTTTCCATGAAGAAGTTATCTTCTTGCCAAAGGATGTGTCTTTTAACCAAAGAACATGCTTTTTCTTAGGCTCCAAATGGTGAGATCTAACTTATTTGATTGATCCTCGATATAGTCCAACAATTGTTCTCTTTAGGTGATGCGACTTAATGAGTATGTTTATTAGTAGTCAGTTTTACAATAAATAGAAGTAACATCCCCAAAATTTTAAATTTTTGGAATGTTAATTATTTACATTGGATTAATTAAAACTTTCTTGTGTGGCTTGAGTTTTGCTAATTTTACCCAGGATTTGAAACTTTATAGTTAAAAGGAATGTTCAAAATAGAGGGAATAAAATCACATTAACAAATATTCATTTTGGACCTTATTTCGATTTAATATTTGAAACAATGTGAACTGAATAAGAAAATCAAAAGAGAGAAGGTAATATGACTCTGACAATATAAAAAGAGTTGGGAAGTGCTTCAAAAATTATTTGAATATTTGTTTGGATGTTGTTCAAAAGCATTTTTGGAATTATTTAGAACCCTAAATCTATTTTATGGAATATTTATAAAGCCCAAAATAAAGTTTGTACAAATATTGTATGTATTTTCAATAAAGGTTGAGGTTCAAAGGGAACTTTCTTGTGTTGCAATTCACATTATCCCGAGACAAAAGGAATTGTATGCGGGATTATCTGAATCCTTAACATCGTGGTTCAAAGCGATATAGATGTTCATTGAATATGTGGGAGTCACTATGGGCATCCAGGTCCCGCTATTGATTATTGATCGGAGAATTGTCTCGATCATGTCCACATGTTCTCGAACACATAGGGTCACACACTTAACGTTCGCTAACGCGAGGGTAGTAATGGGATATTCATAATGGTGAGACCGAAGATAGTTCGGAGTATTAGATGGGATCTGGGACACCATGAGGAGCTTCAAAATAGTTTAGAGATGAAGTTTTATATAAGAAAAGTGGTTTTCAGGGTTCCGGAAGAAGTTTTTTCTGGTATTTGTATCAGAGGATTCTAAAATGTTCTAGGGGTCCCAGAGTGGGGCCCACCTACGTCTGAGGGTCCACATGGACCCAAGGGCGGCGCACCAGCCCTACATAGGCCAAGCCACAGCCCACCTTGGCCCATGCACAATAGGAGAAAACCTTAACCCAATACAAGGAAAGGGGGAGACTTGGTGGCCAAGTCCTCCTTTGGCCGCCGGTCCTAGGGCTTGGGGTGCAAGCCTCCCAGCCCTCCTCACGCCTATATAAAGGGGGAGGCACAGGGAACAACAGCCATCCCAAACCCCTAGGTGCCTCGCCCCAACCACTCTTCCCTCCTCCTCCGCAGCTGCTTGGCGAATCCCTGCATGAGTTCCACCATAACTCCACCACCACGCCATCGTGCTGCTAGCCTAGATCCCATCTACATCTCCCTCTCGCTTGCTGGATCAAGGAGAAGGAGACGTCACTGAGCCGTACATGTACATATCTCGGAGGTGCCATTCGTGCGGTGCTTGATCTGATTGGATCTCCAAGAAAGTACGACTACATCAACCATGTTCGTTAGAACGTTCCCGCTCTCGATCTACAAGGGTATGTAGACTTTCCCCACTCATTTCTAGCACTTAGGAGATTAGATCTTGGGTGACTTCGTTCTCTCATAGGATTTTTTTTGTTTTCCATGCAATGATTCCCATCATATTACCCATCTCCTTGGTGCAGGAACCACCAGAGCACACGCCCCACCATTGCCAGAGTTTACCCATGTGGCCACACCCTCGTTCGAGCCCCATTGACGCAAGCAGGAAAAAGAAGAGCCTCACAAGATTATTTTCGAGACCGACTTTCCACGATGCAGCCTACACGCACATCCTCAATCCTTCAAGATCTCCTACACATTGGCATCATCAGTTCCCTAGATGGCGCATGTCTTCTCTACCAAGTCTGGCTTCCGCCCAACCTCTTTTCTCTGGTGAGCATATCCGTCTGTCCAATTTCCTTTTGATGATTAAGATTAGAACGTGAAGGAGTACGTTATTTGAGCCGTGAGATCTTGATCAAACATCACATATTCATCCACTTAAATGAATCATGTGTTGGCACATGCCACACCCTCAGCAGCTCAAAACGCTATCATGGCAGGATTTCCAGTGTGTCCAAAAGCATTGTCATGGTAGGGTTTTTAATGAAAACCCATCCAAGTTTGTTTTAGCTATAGCTTGTGATATGAAATTAGGTGATTCTTTTTCCTAAATGTTCATTATGAACATGAGCATCCTGTAGATCCATTATTCCACCTTGAAACATTTTCAAATTTGAATCCAGACCTAATGGCATGGCTGTTTATTTGCATTCATTTTTCGTAGAATTATCAGGATCGTGAGTGCGACGATCATTCAACAAACTTACCAGGAAAGTTACACCTTGATCATCCTTTACCATAGTTTTCTATGCATGTAGTTTTATATGACGTTATGATACTCCCTCCATTCCCTTATGCAAGGCCACAAACTTAGATTACAGGTGCCAGTGTAAAATTTAATGACTGCTTTGCAAGCCAACTTTTCTTTTCGTTAACCGGGATCATTAATGCGCGCTTTCACGCAATGAAGGAAAGGGAAGGAACTAGTAGAGTGCCATTATGACTACATGCGTGCAACTATTAAACAAGTTGCTAGTACGAGGAAAAATCATTAATTTTTGGCTCGATTATTGTTGGTGGCCTTGCATAGATGTAAAATGTATTTGTCATGTTGGCCTTATATAAGGGAATGGAGGGAGTAGTATGCATGTGTAGGCATATTACTATATTATGTTGTGGTAGTTTGTATGTTGCTATGCTATGTAGACGGGGTGGATTGTTTTGTTCATTGAGCTTATGTGAGGACCATATTAGGATTTGAGTAGAACTTTAATATGAAAATTATGTTTGAGCAAAAAGTGATATCAATCACAAGCGGCATTTAGAACAGTAGGATTGTCCAGGGGAAAGCACGTACAAGATGGCTCACTTCTGGCTTTTGATTGGATTAGGTTGAGTACCATCCAACACTGTGGGTTGTCATTGGCAGGCAGCTACAGGATGGCATATCGTCTAACACGATAGGGTTGGCAGGAACCTACATGGTGGTGTACCATCTAGCATAGGGGTTGTGTTGACAAGCACCTACAGGATGGCACACCTAGCACAATAGGATTGTTTTGGAAAGCACTTACAAGATGGCACACTATGAATTGTTGCCTAGGCTCATAAGACCGAACATACTTAGTGTATAGTAGCTCCGTGTATAGTAAAGTTTACAGACATCTACAGAGTGTTAGACATGTACTTAAATGTAGCATGACAATTAAAATTTGTCTACCAGGTAGTTACAAGGATAAATTAGCTTTTTGGCAAAACAACCACATGACATTCTTTTTGTTATACCTTGCATGTACAAGTAGGCCTGGTGTAATTCATGTGTACTTGCCAATATATTCAATGTATTGACCCTTGTGGCTGCAACTTATCATGTTACAGGATTTTCTACAATGAGTAAGTTATGTGATGTAGTGTTACGATGTCTATACTCAACTTAACTACATGCGTTGATGGACACCATGAAGCTTTTTATTGTCTTCTTGTTGTATTTAATTTATGAGCTAGACGAGCTACATATGTATTTATTATATTAAATTCTGGGTCTATGATAATATTTATGACATGTGGTTTATTTTTAATATTACATCATGTACGGTGTGTGCTAGCTATTGATCCAGGGACTAGCACAGGGAACATAGAGACTCCGGTCTTACCGGGTCAGATCGTTACATGTATGGAGCTTGAATTT